GATATCAGAGGCAGCAGAAGCCAGAACACAGGTATTTTGTTTAGAAACAGCTGAAAACATATTAAAAGAAGCAACATCTAACAAGTTTGCTTTAAAAAGTTATGGATGAAATCGTGGATATTTACATAATTAACTGTGCAGGAGAAAGACTGATGGATTCAATATACAAAAAGATGTAATATGTATTGGGCATTGATGCCTAGTACCCACCTACACTGAGAAGTGCTTCAATGAATTCTTCTGTCACGACAGGAAGAGGAAGGCGAAATATATCATAAAGAACCTCAAGCAGACCTCGCTACAAACAAGGGAAACATTTTCACAATCATACAACTAATAAAGGGAAGACAATTTGTAAAACTATAAAAAGTTAGAAAGGTATCCAAAATGAAAAATAATGTAATTCCGTGAAACAGACTATCAAAGTAGCAGAGAACGTCTTAATAGAAGATATCACATCTACCCAAAAAACCTTGTCTACAACCACAAATACATTTTATAAGTTTTCTATCTGTGGCACTTAAAAGAATAAAAAAGTGGCTAAAAGAAATAGATAAATGATGGTATCTACTAACTGTTTTATTGCCTCATATATCCAGTACAAATCATTATATTATGTTATAAAGGTATGCAATTTAAACTACAAAGAGGAGGTAGAGCATTATTCCTTGGATTTACCACATACCCGTATTTCCATATTTGGTATACAAAGTACCCCAATGAGAGACTGGATTCCAGAGTTCCCAGGCTTGCATAAACTGATAATACCTAGAAAACAAAATCTACATTAAATCCCCTAACCCTCAGTCCAGAAAAATCTTTAATTACATTGTGCAAAATACTAACAAAAATGAAAATGAATTGCAATCTTCTAACAGACTGAATATAAGCAGTGATCACAAAAAATGATAACATAAACTACAGTTTTCACCCCCTCCAGTAAGCAATCTTCATTCTAATAGGCTATGTCTGTTTTACATAATAATTAGATATTTGTAAATAATTATGTTCAATAAACAAACCTCTATTTTCTGATTGTTCTTTACCTGACTGTGCCCTGCTTCAATGCTGTGGCAAAGATCATTTTCTTCACTCACCACTTTGATCATGAAACGGCATGAAACCACTTCTTTCTTTATCTTCCCTTCTCTACAACACTATATAAACTCCTTACCTTTATTCTCAAGGTCCTTCATGAGCTATCTCCATACTACCAGTGATGTCAAACTTAATCATCCTCGTTAAACTTACAAAACACATGCCTATTTGGTTTTTCCTGTGGTTTTTCCCCAAACATAGAAAGAAGACTTTAAATATTGGCATAATCCAATCCTTGTTCAAATGACTCCTTTAAAACTCTTCTTTACTGTTATACACAGAAAAACAGACAGTGGTTCCTCAGCAAGGGCTAAGCCTCACAGAGTACTGAGCCCAGTTCTGGGTACCCATTTTAAGAAGCAGGTGGACAAACTGGAGGGGACCCAAAGATGATCAAGGGTTTGAAAGCAAGGCAAATGATAAAGGGTGGTGGGGTTCCTAATGATTAGTCTAGAAAAAAAAAAGACGATGAAGCGGTGACATTACCATTCTCACATATCTGAAAGATTGAGAAAGATTTAGAAAGGATGATAAACAACTGTTTTCCCTCCACACACAGGGCAGCAAAATAAGTAACTCCAGGAAGGCAGTTTTAGGTTCACTCAGGAAAAACCCTATCTGAACGCCAGACCATTACATAGCAAAACAAATTAACTAGGAAAACTTGAATATCCTTTATTGCAGGTTTTTAAGAAGAGGCTAGATGGCATCTTTTAGAGATAGCCGAGTTACAGTAGCCTGGATTCCAGGACCCTCGAGATCCCTTCCAGTCCTGCAAATCCAAAATAACTTGACAATGTTTAGGGAAGAGGAAAAGCTGTGATCACAATCCATCATATTGACTGGTTTGGTGTTACTTAAATTTAGATCACTATCAACATAATGGAGTCAATAATGGAACTAAAAAAGGCTCTAACCCCAATACATTAAAATTAGCAAAAAATTGCAAAGGAGAAAGTACTTTAAGAGTTGAAGGAATTAAGAAAGAAACAGACTAACAGGTTTATCCACTGGACAATACTTGCAACAACACAAACAAAAGAAAACAAGCATGTACTGTCCTAAATGGAACCTGCAATGAACAAAAAAACCCAATTGTACTTAAATTCATTTTCACTTTCTAGATGAGTAAACCTAAAGTTATTTGCCTGAAGAGGTTTTATACTTGAAACTGGAAGACTACTGATGACAAGGGCTAGGAACTGAAATTACACAAACTGGTATAAGTGATCAGAAACCGGCTCATATCTGTAATACAACTGAAGTTCTGTGCATATAAACAGCTTTCCAAATAGCTGAAATGAATTTAAGATAAACCTGGATGGATGTAGTATCAGACTTAACTGATTTAGGTTAAAATGGTTTACTGAATTCTGTTCCACATCCCCTCTAGATGCAAGTTAACTTACAGTCCTCCAGCATACCAGGATGCTTTACACCTTCCCTGTAAATCTCCTTCCCCTCGCAGGGTGGATAAGTTAGTCTTGGCCCAAACTGTCTGCCCCAGATGAGCAGGGAGGTATGCTCTAATGCCCCCAACTTCTGGTCTGAGCCACTGCAGGCATGTGGCTGTATTTCCTGAATCAAAAGTGAACGTCTGTTTACTTGCTTGTTGGTTCAATGTACGCAGGTTAGACTAACCTGCAAAGATTGAATAGACTCAGCCTCAGACTTTTTAACTGTCTATACTGAGCTTAAAGGTCTATTAAAATGACGACAATAAAAACTAAGGCCCCTGTCAGATGTTAAAATAATGTCGAAATGGGATCTGATCCCCACTCCCAACAACCACACATCCTGCCATCCCACACGTGTGGCAGGATGCCAGACGGTTGGGATTGGAGGCCAATCCTAACTGCACTATTATTTTAAACAGGAACCTTGCAATGCAATTAGGTTCCTGTTCCTGTACAGCTCCTATACAGAGAAACCAAGGGGCGCCCCCCCTGCCAGGAGTTTAACCCTCACCTCTATGCTGGGCAGCCCAGCTAGGCACAAACAAGCCTGGCCGGCTGGCTGCCTGCCTTGCCTCACAGTTCCCAAGGGAGCTGCTGGGGCACAGTGAGCCTCATGGTAAGCATCCACAACCTGGCATCCCAGCTCCCCATTCATAAGCACCCTGAAAGCTGCATAGTGAAGCCCCATGCAGGACTCCAACGTGCGGCTGTCAGCCTGCCAGCATCGGTCATGGGGATGTAGCCTCATGCATCAGGCTATGTGGCAGGGATACCGCACTATTCATTCCATTTAAGGAATGAGGGAAACCAGATCCACATTTCTCATTTTGGTTGCCATTAACTCCCTAAATGTGTGGCAGGGTTACTATTTATGGTGCTTTTATCAGGTTAATTGCATCATAAGTGTAACATCTGCCAAGGCTCTTAGAGTGGAATGTAGAAATTAGGGGGATATGGGCTTTTTAGACAGACTGCTTAAAATTCGCTTTTTTTTATTTTGCTAGCACATATTTAAAAAACTTGGGGCTTGGACAGAGAAAGCCTTTATCTTCTACACTTTTATGCTGGAGCTTATAGTAAGCATTCCTGATAAATCCTAAGTAACCTATGGTAAAACTGAGGAAGAATATCCTCTACATGCCTGATAGTCGTAAACATAAAAAAGCAGGAATAAAGTTAGCTTGCATCCCTCTTTAAAAATCTTTTAAAAGTTAGCTTTTAAAACGAAGTGAATGGCATAAAAAGAAGAAAGGCATAGAAAGGGAAAACAGAAGAAATGTCAAGGGAAGTAGTATATAGTTATATAGTATATATATACACTATATATATAGTATATAGTTACCTACAGGCTGGGGAACTACCTACAGGCTGGGGAACTCCCCTCTTGTCAGCACGGAGGTGGAAAAGGATCTTGGAGTCATTATTGACTCCAACATGAACATGGCTCGGCAGTGTGGGGAGGTGGCTAGGAAGGCCAACTGTACCTTGTCGTGCATCCACAGATGCATTTCAAGCAGGACCAAGGAGGTGATCCTCCCCCTCTATGCGGCACTGGTCAGGCCGCAGCTGGAGTACTGCGTCCAGTTCTGGGAGCCGCACTTTAAGAGGGATGTGGACAGCATCGAGAGGGTCCAGAGGAGGGCCACTCGCATGATCAAGGGACAGCAGGGCAGGTCCTATGAGGAAAGGTTACGGGACCTGAACCTGTTCAGCCTCCAGAAGAGAAGGCTGAGGGGGGATCTTGTGGCCTGCTATAAACTAGTCAGGGGGGATCAACAGGCACTGGGGGAGTCCCTGTTCCCCCGAGCGCCGCCAGGAGTGACCAGGAATAACGGTCACAAGCTGGCAGAGGGAAGGTTTAAGTTGGACATCAGGAGGTGCTACTTCACGGTCAGGGCGGCTAGGGTCTGGAACCAGCTTCCAAGTGAGGTGGTGCAGGCTCCCACCCTGGGGATTTTTAAGAGGAGGTTAGATGACCATCTTGCTGGGGTCGTTTCACCCCCAGTACTCTTTCCTGCCATGGCAGGGGGTCGGACTAGATGATCTGCCCAGGTCCCTTCCGACCCTAGAAACTATGAAACTATATTTCAAGCCCATTATTCCTTTGTCCTTCTGAAGAACCTTTAGCCTCAAGTGAGTAGTTATGGAAGGATGTATGTGTACCCCTAATAGAAAATGTTGGAAGTTTCCAAATTTGAATGCGATTTTCGTAAGTGGGGATGCCTATGCATAGTTCTTGAAGGATATCTGAATACCAAATTAAATCTTATTATTAAATTTGAGATACTGTGCTATCCATCAAGAGAATTCACTCTTCAGTCTAAACTTTTCCACATTATGGTCAACTAGCATTAAAGAATAAGATTTTGGTAGGTCAGACAAACCTGACTTCTCATTTCATTTAGTTTTAACAGGTCTACTGTCTCATTTAGGTGTGAGGTGACTCAAGCAACAACTGTGTTTCTATTTTTATTTTGGAGCACTAGAAAAAAGGATAGAAAAGGCACTGCCTTTTCAACTGAGAAGTACTTTCTATATCAAGATTCAAGCAGCATCTATATGGGAGATTGCATGCAGCGGCCAGCAGCCACTGGTGAAGTTAAGGTACACATGTGTAAATTCCTAGTATAGACAAAGCTATTTTTCATCCTAACAGAGCTTAGAACAAATTTCAAAGACAGAAAAAAAATACATCCAACTTCACTTAAATCCAGAAAATGTCATAAATTTCAGATAAGGTAAATTAGTATCTGATTTAGGATTCCCCTACTGGCAACTAGAGAATCATCTTCTGGTCAGGAAAGCCAATCAGAAGATGCAACATAGAAACCCCTTATGACAGGGACGAGCAATTATTTTGGGTGGAGGGCTGCTTAATGAGTTTTGGTGAGCTGTCAAGGGCTGCATAGGTAGCCCTGTCCCCTGACAGCTGCTCTGCCCCCTTGTTGCCATTTTGGGACTGATAGTCCCGCCCTCTAACCCCTGACCTTTGCTGCCACAAGTCCCTCCCCTTAACCCTTGGAAATACTCCTTCGGGGAGGGGAGGGAGGTTGATATCTTAGAACCAGAAAAAAACAACCCATACACTAAAAGTCAAACATCTACTATAACATATTTTAATTTTATTATGAAAAATATTTCTCATGATTGTGTTTGCATAGTGTATATAGAGATGACTGCATAATAACTCAAAAATAAATTCTTAGTCTTGTATATCGTGTGTGGATGTGTGTATATGGTGGGGTGTGAGTATGTGTGGGGGTGTACGTGATGGTGTGTGTGGGTGCGTGTATGGTAGGGTGTGGGGCTGTGTGGGGGGGCATAGGCTATGTTGGGAGGTTGTGTATATGTGGAGGGTTCTGGGGGCAGGGGGTGTGTGTGTGTGTGTGTGTGTGTGTGTGTGTATATATGGTAGGGTGTGCAGAGGTGCGTGGGAGAAGTGAAGGGGTGTGGCTGTGTGGGAGGGGCACAGGTTATGTTGGGGGGTTGTTTATACGTGGTGGGGTTTAGGGGCAGGGTGTGGGTTATGTGGGTTTTGGGGGGTATGAGGGAGGATGGGGGTGTGTGGGAACCCCCCCTAACCTCCCATGGTGCAGCAACAGCAGGAAGGGCGCTCAGGGTGCAGATGTTCAGTGGGGCATGGCTCCAACCAGCACTACACATCGCGATGAGGAGCACAGCCTCTACGGGGCCATCTGTATTGCCAATCCTCCCTGGCACTCACGCGCAGCCCTTGCACTCACTGGGCACAGAAGGAAAGCCCCAGACACTGGAACCAGCTGCCTTAACCACCCCCCAGGGGAAGGCACAAGCCCCAGAGGGGAAGACAGCTGGCTCCAGCACCTGGGGCTTCCTTCCCGTGCCCAACAAGTGCAGGGGCTGCACCTGAGTACCAGGGAGCAGCAGCGATACAGACAGCCTAGTGGAGGCTGCACTGCTCGCTGCAATGTGCAACGCTGGCCAGAATCAGGCACCTGTGCCCAGAGTGCTTCGCTTGCTGCTGCTGCCACTGCCTGCCGGAGCTGCACACCATGGGGGGAGTGTGTAAGGGGGGGTCCCCACACCCCCCACCCTCCCTCACACCCACATGTTGCCCACCATAGCTCCTGCTGCTGCCGCCACCCTAGGCACGGGCTCTGCACTGCTACCAGCCCCAGCCCCATGCTTCTACCCGGCTGCAGTCCTTCCCCCACCACTTTCCTACCTGCTGCCCGGAGCCAGAAGGACACCGGGGAAGCAGAGCAGGTCACCAGAGGCTGCAGCAGCAGCAGCAGATGTTGCAAGCTGGCTGGGCTGTGCACCCTTCTGCCCACAAGGGTGGGAGCGAGGCACAGTAAGGCATATTTGGGGCTGTGTATACATGTGGGCGCCTTGCTCCCACCCTCAAGGGCTGAAAGGCTGGGTGGGGTGCAATTCGCTGGGGGGCACCGTGAGCCCAATGAAAGTGCTTTGCAAGCTGAATCCGTCCTGGAGGCTGTATGTTGTCTTATGATTTGACATCAAGACATTCATTGGCCTACCATACACAAAGAACTGATGAACACAAGGCATAAGACTAATAAGGACAGATTTGGGGCTTCAGTAAATAATTCTTTCACTTCGAGCATAAAATTCCTTTCCTTATCACCAAATTAAGAATAAATAAATAAAAAAGCACCTTACCAGCCCACGATCGAAACGTTGCCACTATTCCCATTTTACTAGCTAGGAACCGTGCTTCTCTGTCTTCTCTGTTATAAAAATAATAATCACATTAGTTGTATGCTCACCATTAAGCCTACAGCAGCACTTGCTTTATTACCCATTGCCAACTAACATTAGAGACTTTTCTGAAGAATGAGATCCAGAATATAAGAAAAATGTAGTTTGAGATTTGCAAGGTTATAGGATTAGTATGAAATTGTAACACTATTCTTGTAAAATTAAAGAATAACCTTCCTTGCTACCCAGGAATGTTCCTTTAGCTGAATGCGTAAAGGGTATCTGTATTTAAAAAAAACAAAATTACCTCCTTCCATCTTTAAAATGCAGAACACCAGCTATTAAAAATGTTTGTAGGTATCCCTTAGCACAACCCCCTTATACTTATGTACGTGCAAGAAAAAGCCATTTCCCTGACCTCTCCTTTGGTTAGAATACTGTCCTGACCTTATTTGTCAGTCAGGATTGGTTCAACTACTACCAACATGGAGACAGTCCAAAACTGCACAGCTTCCTCTGCCCATGAAAGACTGACATGTTCCACAACAACAATGCTCTCTTTTACACAACATACTTTAAACATAAAATATATAACTATTTTTAAGTCGTGATAAATAATTTAAAAGAAGTAAAATGTATGTTTTTACTATTTAAATTCCAATAATTTAATATGTTGTAACTACTACTTTCTATTTGGAAAATGATTACTTTGATTTTACTTTTGAGAACCGAAGTATATTTAAGTCACTTTGAAGAGGAAAAGTTTTGATTTTAATACTACACCTTCACAACAATCTGTAGCACAAGAAACCACAATATACTTACTTGAGCTGTCCTTCTGCTGTGTCTGGATTGTGCCTGTAGTGGAAATCTGTGTACGGAGCTAAAATTCGCTAAACACAAACACAAACACATTTATTCTCTTGAAAAAGTAAAGAGCCCGATCTGTTTCTCACCCCCACCTCAAGTTCTTAATTGTTTCTGCTCTAAACACAATTATGTTATTATTCTATTGAAATATCCATTTTCAAGTTTTAAAAATGTTACATTTTAAAAACAGATTTTTAAAAGTAAAACAGCAAAAAATTAGAAGTGAAAATTATAATTTTACATTTAAATTTTCCATATCAGTCTAATACGCAGTAAAATAAGCAAAACTGAAACTTGTTTACTTTTCTCCATTTTCAGGAGAATATTAGCCACATAGCATGTTTTCCGACCACTATAGACAATCGTCAGTTACTAGTGAGGGCAGCATTAAATTTTGCATCATGTCAAGTAGCACCCAGTATTCAAGCCAGAACAGTCACACCCCTGAGCATGAAATATCTGCCTGAACACTCTTTGCCTAAAAACTTACTGATGATGCTGTGCTTGATTCTGTTGCAATTTATGATACAAGCAGAGTATTTATCAATTTCTGCCTGAATAACAAACAGCTAGAGACCTTCCTTTCTTTGTGAACAGATGTAAACTGGTAGATTCATGCAGAATATGCCATACCACATATTTTGTAGTGTGAAAAAGCATCTTAAAAACATTCTCCTTTTATATTTGGACTGAATAGTTCTTTTTATAAAAGACGGAATAACTGATAACAGGCGGGGGAGACAAATTGGAGCTATTAGTCACTGTACAATAAACTAAACACACTGTGGCCAAAATCCACTTTGCATCTGCCACATTACAAATGCTTCAGGACATCAAAATGGCCAGAGCAAATTTAACAACTTTAAGACTAGAAAAGAAACCAAAGTTACTACCTCTAATTCTACATCTGCTCGCACATACTGTCGTGTCTTTGGATGATTAATGAGGTGTAAAACTGTAGTTATGAGAGCCTCATTTATTCGACTTAACTGACAGTCAATCACATTTTTCAGGATGGTACTTAGGCCTCCCCTAAGAGCCACTACCTCTGGATTCTGAAGTGCTGAAACAGAAGAAAAAAAGTCACTAAAACGTCTGGAAAAAAGCAAATTCTGAAAATTTGTCATTCTGCTACATTTTGTAAGTCAATAAATATGCAACTCACAAGTACTAATGGGAAACATTTTGTAGTTTACTTTGTACAGTTTGATAACACTTTGTGTACAGTTATTTTTCCTGTTTATCTATCAGAAAATTATTCTCAGTTGGCACAGGCATAACAAGGCAGGAAAAGTAACTAGCTAAAGGTTAACTGTAAATCACAAAAGATGGCAAAAGACTAAGGAAGCAGGGAAAGTATTTTAAATTACCTCAGGCTGTCATCTTGAGATAAATTAGTTTGAAAAACTATCTGACAACAAATTATTCACTCAGTTTGAGACATTTAAAATTAACTTCCTTATCAAAGAGTTATGATAATAAATTATTGCATTACTTGGATAAAAGTTAACTCTTTAATAAGATCCTTGAGGAGAAAGGCTCATTTAGAAATAAGATAAATTGATAACATTTGTTAATTCTTTTAAGATTCTCACCTAGTTCACAAATAATGGCAATACAAGCTCGAACCATTCTGTCTCGTTCCTGAAGGCCATCATTTCCAACTGCTATCAAGGAATTAGTTATGGAGCTAGGGAACAAGGAAGCATTCACAGTGATCATCTGCCAAAAAAACAAAAAACCCAGATGAGTAGTTTCTTCCATAGTATATCACTACATTTCTTCACACATACTCACTAGCATCCTGTTATGAGATAAAGCCAAATGAACTGCTCCATATATTACTTACTTGTATCAAATAAATCTTCAATACTATTGCCTTTTGCACTTGAACTGCATGGCTTACCATTATAGTATTCTGTCTTTCTCCTTCCTGCTTGGTTTTTTAATTTCCCCGTAACTGGTGTTAAAGGGAGACAGCTCCAGACTGAATAGAGCACCTACCCAGATCTCCTTCAACAGTCCCTGTCAAACCTCACTGACAGAGAGAATGTGAAATACAGCACGCAGCAGCTTACAATTTTCTTCCTTTGTCCAGTACTCAGGTCTGCAAGGCAGCCATTTCAACAGCTACTCAGATGTTAAGTTGCACTAAAGTGAACTCTCCCATTCTGCAGAGCTCTTCAAACCCACAGAAGGGACTGCATTGCAAAATGGAGAACAAAAGGTGTCGAACAAGCAGAAGGAACTACATTACCTGTGGGCTTTTACAGATGTAGCTGCCAGGTTAGGCTCTTAAACTATTGTATGGAAACCACTTTCCCAAAAGCGTGCAGCGTAATTAATCTCTGCTATATAAACTGTAAGACTTTGTCGTAAGTTTTAACATGCCAATCAATACATGGGGCTTTATTGTGCATACCACAGTGCCTTGTTACTGAAACACTATTTTGAACCCTTCATCCTTTAAGACATACTTTGCAATGATGCATCTCTCTCAGGTGATTGTCCAGGCATCATGCTTAGGGTGTAACACAGTATCACGGGTTAAAAAAAAGCTGGCATGAATTTAGAAAGTCTCTCAACACCTGTTGTTGGTTTAAGAGGCACGACAGGAAAATGGTTAAACTACCTTTTCAACATAAAGATGTTTTACTTTCCTTTAAAATCTGATTACATTACAAAACTAAGGGAAAGGCAGAAGAGACCATGACATTATCATGTTAATATAAGCCATAAACAAGCACTGTAACTGTTATAACCTTCTAAACCAGAGGTCAAAAACCTCTGGGAGGACGCAGGCCTTTGGTGTGATATGGTGGCGGGGGTTGCGTTCTGCAGGTACTCTCCCGGTGCCTCCAGGAAAACAAGCAGCAGTGGCAGTAGGGTCCTATTACCCACCTACCTGCCCACCTCTGACCTGCAGTAGGTCATTCCAGCCCACAGCCATAAAATGTTTCCTACACCTCCTCTAAATGACACGTCTTGTTTGCTTACATTAAATATCTTAGGCAGCTGCTCATTTGTTATCACTACTCCTATTTCTATGCTGCCTATTACTGAAATATCTACACCTCATTCCCATAAGTACACAGCATTTAAAGTCCTCAAAGAAAAGGAATACAGCTTATATCCATGGAACATGGCAGAAGTCATGTTCAGACAAACCTGGATACACAGCCACAGGTACTCCTTACATAAAAATTTTAGATTAACAGAAAGATATATGCCATAGATCCTGTTCTGCTGAGTTTGTAAATCTCACAACGAAGAGTCTCTCCATGGAAGATAACTTAGCCCAGGCTCTTAGTGGCTCTGGAAAGAGATGGCAGAGTCAGGAACAGAGCAAGAAGCAGGCTCAGAGGAAGGATTTAGCTTCTGAAACCTTAAATTAACTATGTATCAGAACCTTAAAATAAATCTGCAACTGAACTAGTAGTAAACAATGCAGAAACAATTTCTCTAGAGGCTATACATTATGCAAGTTACTGCACATTTTAGGCTAATTCACAGATGTCATTTAGTGTGCCTAAGGAAGTAATAAGAGTAGCAAAATGTGGAGGAGGCTGTTATTCATCTTGCTCAATCCCTAATCCTGGTTATTTTGGCTCCAGTATCCTATTTAAAGAAAACCTAAATTATGCTGATTCGAGTCATCTCCTGTTAAGGGTATTCCTATAAACTTAAGGTTAGATTTCACAGTATGCGAGACAAACTATGCTAATGCTTTTGTGCATCTGTAAGGTTATTTAGCTGTCCAGATAAGCCAGCCAGAAGCAACAATTCAGCTTGGAAAGGCAACATGTACAGTATACATGACCGTGTTGCATGTTTTGATCTGGGGTCAAACCCTGGGACAATCAGACCTGTGACAGACGAGACATCTATTTACAGCAGGGGTAGGCAACCCCGGTATGGGTGCCAGAGTGCGGCACGTGAAGGCATTTTGCTTGGCACGTGCGCCTTGGGGCGGAAGGTAGGGAAGGACCTGGGGCTGCTCTGCCACAACAAGGATCGGGCCCGTTGCAGCTCCTCCACCATCAGACCGGCACGCCGACAACACCTTACAAGTTGAGTTTGCAGGTGTTTTGGGCACTCTGTCCAAAAACATTGCCGACCCCTGATTTACAGCGGATAATTTAGGTGAGAGAAATAAAAATGTTTCTTTTGTATATACTTCTTAGACATTCCTCTCATAATCATGCAAATCAGCCAAAAAAGGAACAAGCAGAATTTGACTATTATTTGCAGGTCATTATTAAATGAAGAGCCCAACATTATTACATAAACACATTCAAGCACACTAAACCAGTTTATCTTTGTAAACATGTTTATGAGAAACTACTGCTTGCCATATTGTATTGTTGTTAGCCACAAAACAGGAAGCTCATTCAGACCGGACTTTAGAGAAAAACCTAAACCCTCCCCCCACCCACATACACAGTAAGTCTTTCATTTCTATAATGATACTAAACAACAAGAATTACTAAGAGCAAGAGCATGTGTGCATGCATGTAATAAACCCCTTAAGAAAAATGTAACCTTCTTTCTTGTAGCAACAGGATGAACAGTAACATGTCACGTGCAAGCAACTGACCTAAAATTAAGGATGTGTTGAGTTTCAAGATTTTTTTTTAATAGAAAAAAGATTATATTTTTTTCTTTGCTCTTCCATTCTGTATTCTGAATATTACCTCATGGAAATATATACATGCCTACTAGAAGTACAGAATCAACATCTACTAAATATTCAAATTTCAAGTATTTTATTACTATGCATGTCAACTCAATTTGGCATTTTTGTTCATGCTAGTTTACATACATATACGTCTCTTAGGGTATATAGGGATAGCAGCATCTGGGGCCCAATACTGTGGGACAATGCTCAGGGCACTTCTTTGTAAATGGGAAAACCCCAGGTTTGGCCATCTGCAGAGACGTGCCCCAAGCTGGATTCCCTGGCATGCCTCTGCAAGTGGGGGGACCCAGTCAGGCACTCCTAGGGCTTCAGGGGCCCATGAAGCAGGAGGAGTGCTTATTCAGGGCTACTGGAAACCCTGGGCAGCTCCAAGCTACTCCCGCTCTTGCCATGAAGCAAACAGATACCACAAATTTTGGACATCTGTGGTGCAACAAGGGGGATGAACATTTTTCTTCCTGGCCTTTGAATCTCACTATGGGGAGCCAGCATGACAAACACAGGACAGAGGACATGCTGCTAGGATGTGTTGCACTGTTCTTTACTAGGGGGAGTCTTTTATGGGCTGTCTGATCACTGCTCAGGCATACTGTATTGCTGTGGTCCGTCCAGAATGTGACAAAAGTATTTTTTTTCTGAAGTCCTACTATTTCTTGCCAAGATGGGAGAGTATCCTAATAAGAGCTGCTGGGAAGCATAATTCACCAACGTTGCCACAGAAGTCTTAGCATGAAAAAGATATTTAACAACATTCCTAAACTTGGAACCGACTTACAATGGCAAGTCAGTGTATATTCTGCATAAGGAAACTTCACAATGGTTATACACCCCTTAGGGTATTTTTGTCTGCAAAATCTCCATTTTGTTTAGGTTCATGTTCAACCCACTGATTTTGCACAGGCCATTCATAACAGCTGCTTTTTTATGAAAGGGAGATGAAGTGGCCCCTTTTCTGGGTTTCACTGGTGCTAGTGTCCATGTTTTGCTCACCAGCTGTCTGAAGAAGTTGAACACAGGACTTGAGAGGGAATCCTTGTGTAACTATGTAAATGTTGTGGTGATGAAAGCCATTTGCTTATCAATTAGCTCTGAATGCATCTTTTCCAGGACAAAAACTTATTTTTCCCATATTCCTTTGAAGCTCAAAGCAAGGAATCCTTCCATCAACTATCAAATTTCTGCAGTGAAGGCCAAGAGCATGAGGACAAAACAAGCCAATCCAACAGCACTGCATACCGCTGCCAATTCCATGCCTTGCACTAAATACATACTGTGCTTAATCTATAATAAAGACCGCCTGCTTTTAACTGAATTGGCAAGGAATATTTAGGAGCTGTGATTTTTTTTTACTTGTATCAGAGAATCCAGTGAAGCAGAAAGTAACTTATTACCTTTGAGCAGCAGGGGATAACCTTTCTGGCAGGCATGCAACAAGCTAAACCCTACACCTTTCCTGAGTGCCCTTCCCCTGTGCAAACTGTTGCTCTGCATTCTGCTCCCTGTCCAATCTTTGCTTGCCATACACAGAGGCTGCTCATGCCACTTGTGGCTTGTGTGTTGTGGGCTGGCCATCCCTGTTCTAGAGAACTTTGGCTTTTTCTTCAGTCTTTGATACGAAAAATTCTGTATTTATGGCTGTGCTACCAAAGAACCTTTTTTCTTTACAACAGACTGTAAATATAACCACTGGAATACACCTAACAGTTTCTTTAGAATGATGAACTAGAAGCTTTGGAGTTAGAATTTCAGGCTCCCTAAAGAAGAAAAACAGAGCAGTATAACAGAATCAGTGCTCCTGAAGAAACCATCCTGGAAACTTCTCCAATCATCAGATGATTCCTTAGGATATCTATTTGTCCATTCAAGGTAGCTGATGCTAGCTAGAAATGAAGATATATACAGAACAGCCAAGCCCACTGGAACATAAAGTACTTTATGCCAGAATAAATTACTTAGTCTGTGAATGATCTATAAATGCCAACTTATCTGGCAGGAGCTAGATAATGCAGATAAAGCTCTATATCTAACATGCATAATGAGATCAGAATTCTATTTGACCAGCTGCCGCAGACCGACTAGGTCCTCCTAGGAGGCAATGGCTGAAGTGAGTTGTTCAAGGATAGCAATCTGCATTCTCTTAGACAGCAAAAACAAGCTCCTCCACTCCTGATTTAATGGGGCACTTCTGGAGCCAACATGACTGATGGGTCTATCAACATAGATGGTGAGACAGAACAGTGCATAGTTAGAGATTACCTTTCTGACTAAACGAAGTGCTTGCGTTCTCTCTACTTCATTACTCTGTTGAATGTCAATGCACCTATATATATATATATATAAAAAGAAAAACAAAACACACACACACAAAAGTTAAATATAGAATTTGGTCCATCAATAACAATAAAAGTAACTTCTTTCTTAACTATTAACATAATGGTAGAAACATGTAAGCTTCTGAATATGATATTACATAATGTTACTATGTTAATAAACATTACATTAGAACTTACTGTCCAGAAGTTCTAGATTTCAGAGACGACAGGCATTAAAACTTATTACAGACTTCAGTTTCTGTTTTTAAATTTAATAAACCCTGTTATAAGTAAATTGAAGAAACCATTCTCATGAATAAACACACATTTACTGTACATAGTAATCAAGTATAAGCATTTAGCCCATGGCAGATGTTATATTTATGGAACAATTAATGTGTTAATTGGGACAAATGGCAACATGGCATATGTTTAGGCAATACATGGCATAATTAAAATGGCAAACCAGCCACAAAGATGTTCTACCTCAAATGTAGAACATCTTTTGTGGTTAGTTTGTATGACACCTTAAACTGAACATGTGGCATGCCCCAGGGCCCCACGTGGACAACCAGCTGATTGTCAGGATCAGGAGGAGAACAGCCTAGCACAGTTCAAGACCCTGAGCTGCCTTGCATCCTCTTGTGGCAAGGAATTCCACCAGTTGATTACATACTCTGTGAAAAAGAACTTTTAATTAGTTTATAAAACTGCTTCCTAATAATTTTCTTGTGCATCCTCTAGGTCTGGTATTGTTTCCTATTCACTTTCTCTACACTATTATTTTAGAAACTCTAGATCTCCCCTCGTTCATCTTTTCTCTAAGCTGAAAAGCCCCAATCTATTTAGTTTCTCCTTGTAAGGGAGCCTCTCCACGCCCCTAATCATCCTTGTTGTCCTTCCCTGTATTTTTTTTAGTTCTATGATACTCTTCTGGAAGTAGAGGGACCAGATGTGCACACAATATTCAAGCTATGGGTACCATGAATCAATACAGTGGTATAATGACATTTCTTGTGCTGTTTTCAATTGTCTTCATAATTCCTAACATTCTATTTGTATTTTTGAGGACTGCTGAGCATCGGGCCAGTGTTTTCAAAGGACTATGTAAAATAACTCCAAGGTCTCTTTCCTGAATTGTAATAAGTATAGTCCCTCATGGTGTATGGGCATCTTGGATTATTCCCCACCTCCTCATGTGCTTCAATTTGGATTTATCAGCATAGAATATCATCTGATATTTCATTGCCCATTCACTCAATATTATGAGTTATGTAGTTCTTCACAGTCAGTTTTGGCTTTACCACCTAAATAATCTGGTGTCATATGCAAACCTGGCCACTTCACTATTCACCCCTTTTCGAAATGATTTATGAATATTGTTGAATAGCACAGGTCCCAGTACTAGCTCTTGGAGGATTCCATGGCTTACCTTCCTTCACGGTAGGAATTTACCATTTATAACCTACACACTTTGCTTTCTGTCCTTTAGCCACTGATCCATGAGTGGATCTGGTCTCTAATTCTATGAAAGTCTAATTCATTAATAGCCTTTGGTGCAGGACTTTGTCAAAAGCATTTTGAAAGCCCAGATCAATTGGATGAACCTGATCCACAGGTTTGTTATCTAGTAGAGTTCTTTGAGAGTGTTAAGCGAGATATAACCTCTTTTTACAAAAGTCATGTTGACTTCTCCCTAACATGTCCTGCTCATCCATGTGAGACGATCCTGTTTATCAGAGCTTTTACCAATTTCCCAGGAGCAGAAGTTTGGCTTACCAATCTGTAGTTTTCTGGATCACCTCTGGAAATGTTCTAAAACATGGCATTGCATTGGCTACCTTCCAGCCTCTAGTACAGATGCTGTTTTAACAATAGGTTAACATACTGAAGACAGTATATCCACAATTTCAAGTTTTTTTCAGTACCTTTGGATGAATACTATCCAGCCCAGATGATATGCCACTATTTAGTTTAGCAGTTTCTTCTATGACCTACTCTATGGACACCTCAATAAACCACAAGCAAAGGGAACTGTAAGTGGATTGATGTCAAAATGGCACGTGGTTTTGAGTGGGGTTCCACAGGAGTCTATCTGGAGCCTGGTACTATTCAACATGTTTATTAATGATCTGGATGCCGAAATAAAGAGCTTCCTGATCAAGTTTGTTTCCTACATTAAACTAGGAAGGACTGCAAGCACTTTAGAAGGTAGAATAGAATTCATAAAGCTCTGAAAATATTGGAAAGGCCAGGCTACAGACAACAGAATAAAGTTCAATGCAGATAAAGGCAAGGTGATATGCCTAGGAAAGAATAATCAAAAGCACAAATATAGAATCTAAGATAACTGACTGGGCAGTAGCATTACTGAGAAAGACCCAGGGGGTTTGATATGCCACACACTCATCACAAGTCAGGACTATGACAGTCAAAAAGGTCACGCTGCCACTCTACTGGAGCTGGTTAGGCCTCACTGCAGGATAGACTAAAGGCCCTGTACCCCAACACTGTCTTGCTAATGCTTTAGCAAAACCTTGGTTCAACCTCTGTGCCTCAGGGCTTAGCTTCCAGCAGTCCTCCTTCCCCCTACTGCCTCCCATGATGGACATCGCAGTTTAGAGATTCCACAGTGGGCTTTATTCTCTCTTTTCTCAAAGGTGGGATGGGAAAGCTCTGATTGATCTACTCTTTATCTTTAAGGCTGGAAACAGACATTGCTTTCTTGCCATCAAATTTTTATGGCAGCACAAAGGCCAGGAAGAGAGATGTTCATGCCCCTTGTTGCACCACAGATGCCCAAAATTTGTGGCCATGACATAGGTGGTATAAATTGATGCCACTTTTTTGCAGCAGACGTCTGTTTGCTTCATGGCAAGACAGGGGGTAGCCTGGAGCTGCCCAGACTTTCCAGCAGCCCTGAACTAGCACTCCTACTGCTTCATGGGCCTGACTTATTTCCATTCTTGGGACATGCAAGAAAAGGAACCTGAAGCCCCAGAAGTGCCTGGCCAGGTCCCCGCACTTGCAGAGGCATGTCAGGGAATCCAAATTTCCTTAAATTAACAGTCTCTTCTTCTAACCAAGTTCCCCCCGCTCCTTCCCTTTTCCTTCCTGGAAGGTAGTGCCAAGCTCAGTTGGCTTGCCAGAAATATAATAAACAAAGGGTTTGAAGGCACTTGCAGATCACACCTGGAAGATAAAGCAAGTGACATCTTCCAGGAAGATAGGGAGATCTGCAGTAAGGTTCAACAATGAAGGGACAACACACGTCAAGCAGTGAAATGGGGACATCTATACAGGTATCTATGTAGTACCTGGGGATTGGATTTCTTATGCATTCATTAGAATCCAACTGGTTTCTCTAGTTAGTCAATGTATAACAAAGGGATAGAAGAAGCAACTGCTTTATCACACTTGGGACCTGTAACCCCAGCACACTTTCCCTCTGCTAGATGGTCTGATCAGCCAGCCCACAGTGATTAGAAGCTCTCTAGTTATACTTGCTGTGTCATTTCTTTAAACTGAATATGTATGACATGGAATAAACCAGGGACAAAGATGAACTATGCACGGCTGGGGCTCAGCCAACCCAGCTACTTCCAACACTCATCTAGAGCAGGGGTGCTCAGCCCCCAGCCCACAGTTCCAAAAATCTGGTGATGGAGGACCAGTGGCAATGTTAACTGCCACCGCTCCCCCACTGCCAAATTTCCAAGCCCCACCACACAGCTGGATTGGCCCCAAGGAAAGGGATTAGGTCCTATTCCCATGCACCAGGGCCTGATACAGCTCTCACTGCATTGGGATCCCATCAGGGTATTTCTATCCAGCTGCACTGGGCCCTGGCTGGGCCAGCAGCACATGCCAGATCTGGCCCGCAGACTGGATCTGGCCTGCAGATGGACCTGGACCATCATCTGAAAGGGTCAGACAGCACTGATCTAAAGCAGGGATATCAAACTCATCTAGCCTCGTAGGCCAGATGAGTGGCATGAACCAAAATCAGGCACACAGATCCCCCTCTCCCCCCTGCATGCCTCATTCAGCACAGGCAGTACCAGCTCGGGTGTTGGCTCGAGCAGACAGCATGGGTAGTGCATGTCCTGGGCACCCTGCATGACCGTCCAGCACAGCAAAAGGGGCAGGTCAGGGGCTGAACTATGGGGCTCTGTAGGCCATATGTTGGACACCCCCTGACCTAGCATCTTGTGTGCAGTTCTGGGCTCCATATTTTAAGAAGGATGTGGAAAAGTTAGAGAGGGTCCAGAGGCAGGTAATAGAAATGATAAAGAGGTTGAAAGGTGAGAAAGGTTAAGAGAAGTAGGTGTGTTTAGCTTGGAGAAAGTAGAAGAATGACAGCAGTCTTTAAATATTTGAAAGGCTGTCATACAGAGGAGGAAGAACAACTATTCTCTCTTGTCTCAGAGGGTAGGGCACAAAGCAGTCACTCTAAAATGCAGCAAAGATATAGATTAGATATTAGAAAAAAAATGCTGTTAGAACTGGCAGTGGAACAGACTACACAGGGAAGTTGTGAAACTTTCTTTGCTGCAGGTTTTCAAGGGGAGCTTGGATAAGCATCGTCAGGTATGACTTCAGTTGCATTCATGCAGGTTAGACCAGATGATCGGAGGTCCCTTCCAACCCTATGTTTCAATTTTAGTGGGTTCGCCTGATGTACTGCCTATGAGTGGCTGTGGCACAGAAGTCACCCCAGCATCCCCAAGGTGAAAGCAGAAGGAAAGAACTCATTTAGCTTCTCTGCAATGGCCTTATCCTCTCCAAGTGCTCATTTTACTCCCCAGCTGTCCAATGACCCCACTGAATCCTTGGCAGTCTGCATGCATCTAAATGCACTTAAGAAATTTTTTGTTATTACATTTGATGTCTCTGGCACATTTCTTCTTATGGTCTTCTTTTTTGCTTACTTGAATTTATGCACTCAAGCAATGTTTGTTATATGGAATCAAACTAGAACTATAGACTCTATGTTATACAGTTAAGAAAATTATGCACTCATCAGCTATTCATATAAATGGAATACACTATACCTTAACGGTAACAACTTCTGAATAAACTTGGAAAACAGACACTAGAAAATATAAATAGCTCTCATTGTTTCCTTTTCTTTTTTTTTTTTTTTAAATCTGTTGCCTCTTGTTTTACTCTTATATTGTAAACTTTTGGGACATTTTTGTTTTTTGTTTGAACAATGCCAAGCATGATGGAGTCCTTATCTATGAAGCAGGGCTCCTAGGACACACAATAATACAAACATCATACTAATAAACTCAAGAAAACTCAGGCCATGACACACATTCAAATTAAAGTGGGACAGAAACCAGCTATAAAGCTTGCACATTTTCAAGCACTAACTTTGTACTGGTTGGCTCTTTTTATAGCTAGATGAACATTTTTATGGTGTGATAATTACTTTGCATGTGTGGCTGGTCTAGATTTAATGTGCGATTAACCAGTTAATTGTGTACTATATGTAACATGTGGCAGGGCCCTCAATTATTGTCATTATGTTTTCTTTTTTTTTTTTTTTAAGTTTAGGATATAAAAATACAATTAAGATATTCAACCAATACATTCTGAATAGGAGTGACACCAGGGAATAACCAGATTTATGCCTGTTTTTCAGAATAACCTTGAACTTGACTTTGAAAACATTTCACACTCTTTATTTCCTCATGGTATCGTATTATGTAGCAGCATCTTCTCTGGATTTGTTTGGCACTTATGTATTAATGTTTAAAAAATGAGAACTACCCAAATCAAAGAAAATAGCTACTTTTCAAAAAAGGCCCCATCAGTTTGTTAAACCTAAATTAAATAAAGTTTCTTCAATTTAAATTACCTGGCTATCAAGTAATCCACTTTCAATTTTAGCACCTTCTGTAGAATACTGGAGTCCCGGATGAGATAGCGGAGGGCTCGCAACCCTGCTGCTCGCACCTCTTTTGCTTCATTTAGTAAAGCTAGCCGCAAACTACAGTGAAGAAATGAAAGGAAAAATTAAATTATAGCAACTGGTGGAGTTTGCCACCTGAACAACAGGTCCTATGTACTCGCGTACAAATTTAAAATTGAGAGAAATTTACCTTACCTTATTTGCTCCTTTGGAGATCTATGCCCACCTATCTACTAGAGTAAACTCTCCCTTGTCAGCATAGGCTGTGAATATACCGAGTGTTTTTTGGTTTTTTTCCCCTTGTTTGTTTCTCTTCAGCATAGACAAGCTTAGACTTTAGCTGAATTTTTAAAAATTAGTTCATATACTTTTTTAAAGTAAAATATTTTTAAAAAGGCAAGTGATACTCTAAGAACAACCAGGGAGGGGACCAGGGGGGAGCAAAATATTTGTTTTTAGTAGGAAGAGGGGGCCTGCACATTATATTACTCTGGTAGCTGATTGGATGGCAGATTCTGAATAGTTAGGCTGCTTATAGATGTAACAAAACAAAAAAGTGGCCCTTTATTTTAAATTCTGTGTGCCACCGTGCTGAGCCTGGAAGAAGCATCACAGTTTGACCCAGCTTGCTCAATGTCTGTAGAGATTGGGTGCTTCAGCACAGCTTTTTGGTGCTTTTATCTAATAGCTGATTGAATCAGCTATTAAATAAAAGCACCAAAAGCCCCACTGAAGCACCCAATCTCTACAGATGCTGCGGAGCCAGGTCAAACTAATGCACTGCTTCTTCTGGTAAAGCATAGTCTTTCCACATCTGTTAGTACCCTTAGGAAAAGAATATCCTTTGATTTACTAAAATGTTCAAATAAAGGAGTAGTAAGCAAACTTGGTACCTGGTTTAAGTTCCAAGCCAGCTTGGCTGGCAAAAACTTCCAGGTTCTTCTTACATGTATTTAAGAAACAGGGAATGCTTAGGCTATGGATGATGCCCTGAAATTCTGGCACTGTCACTCAACTACAAGACAACTGTAGATGTGGAAGCCTAAAGAATGGACCCAGATGACTTAGGAAACCTTTTCAGTAATCTTTATTTCCATGTTTTGTGTGGTCCATAAAAGTGCTGAGTTCAGTAGCAGAAAAAAACCTACAGCTTCTCAAGATTCATCACTTCAGCAAATCTCAGACCATCTATTTTCCTTTGACATCAGAAGATATAGTCAAGGACACAACAATGCTCAAAGAAAACTTTTGATGTCTTGTTCTAATTCCTGGAATAAGATTCCCAGATATTGATCTAGTGGATGTTTCTCACTAAATTATAAATTTTGGGCTATACTTTATAATTAAAAGACTAATTATAATTGATCAATATTTTTTTTAACTGACACAACAGGACAGAGTTTAGAAAAAAAAACTCTTCTTATGTTTGTTTCTTGGGAAACTAGTTCTAGGAGTCACATAAAGAGGATGTCTGGATTTAACCTAAAGTAACACAAAGGAGCTAATTCAAGAAGTCACAGTAGCTAAGCCATTAAGAATGACAACATTATAATTAAGCTCATCTATGAAAGTGGAAGCAGGTCCCAAAAAGTGACACTAACATGAACTTTAGAAAGGAAAACTTCAGGAAAAAAATAATGTTAACGGGAGTAAAATCCATAAAGATGACATGGCTTCCACTGTAATAAAATCTCAGACAAAAAGCAACAAACAAGGAAAAGTAGTAAACCAATGCAGCAACATAGCAAAGTTTGAAAGCCTATTTGAAAAAAAGAAAGTGGCACTCCGAAGTCCATGAACAGGAATATGACTTGGTGTGGGCAATCACAAAGAGGGAAATTAGAAGGGTAAAAAAAATTGAAATCCAATATGTTCAAAGGTATAAAAAACAAGAGGTTTTGAAGCCTGAAAGTAGTCTTCTGGATTATCTGGCATAAGAAAGCAATGAAAGTGTAAGAATACTGCTGCAAAACCAAAAGGCTTCTTTACACAAAGTCCTTCTGACCAAGAAAAATTGAGAGATATCTACTCTGAAAGAGTTCTTTGTTGGCAGTAAAGATAAACAGACTCAAGCTACAAACAGACTATGCCAAATGAAGTAGATATGCTGTGCTGGGATGTGTTAGTGGGCTTCACTGGGCAAAACAGGCATTTCCTGTCTTTCTCCAGGGTTGGCCCCATGCTGCTCCCAGGGCTTCAGGGCCCTGATCCTGGGGGAAAACGGTTTGGGCGTGCCTCTGCAAATGGGAGAACCTTGGGTTTCCCTGCTTCCAGAGCACACCCAAGGAATCCCAAGGAATCCCTTAATGGTGTCAGGTGCACCTCTGCAAGAGGGCAAACCCAGGAGTCCTGGTTTGCAGAAGCATGCCCTGGGATTCTGAGTTGAGGTATGCCTCTACAAACAGGGAGACCCAGGCAGGCATGCTCAGCACTTCAGGGACCCAATCTCGTGTGCCCTGGGAACTCCCTTGTAGGGGAATCTACCCACAAATATGGGCATTTGCAGCAGAAAAAAAGAGCGTGAATGCCTGTTTGCTTTCGCTTTGTGCCACCATAAAAATGTATACGGTGGCATAAAGGCAATGTCTGTTTGCAGCTTCAGAGATGGAGGTGACGAGTTGAAACAAATGAATACCTAATTTAAAAAGCTGTTTGTCACTAAGCCCATATGATGTATCCAATGATTCTGAAGGAACTGCTCTATGAAATACCTTAGCTCTCTCCAAAAATGTGCACTCAAATACAGCCACTGTCCAAGAGAACAGCATGCAATTATAAATTACAAAAGGGACCAGGGCTTCACTATAGGTATCAGTGATCAGCAGAAATTAACTTAGTATCACATGTCTTGCATGCTAGCAAGTATTACAAAGAATATTATGATCACTTTGATATATATCAAGAGTCAGGTTTTATCTGGAATACCATATCCAGTATGGTAGAGTACATTATACCCCATCTCAATAAGATATTGTCAAACTAGAAAGGAGTTTAGAAAAACAGCAACAAGACTAATCAGGATTCTGGATTTGAAGACCTGGAGCAGGCAAATTATCTTACATCTGCCAACTATAAAGATTTTACACCTTCCTCTAAATCATCTGCTACCAGAAACAGACAGGCAAGATACTGAACCTGACAGATTTGTGAACTTATTCAGAGGGACTATCCTTATGAAAATCTTGATTTTTTATCTCTTGGCTATGGGGAAAATAAGGTCATTCCACTCAAGATAATGAAATATTGCAGGTCACACAAAAAGTGCATTAAACAGAAAAGTATTTAATAGACGTGATTAAAGACGTGATTAAAGTTCCATCAGGGAAAATCCTGGTACCATTTACAAAAAAAGTTGAAATACGGTCTGTTTACCAAATCCAGTCAATTACATAACATTTCTGTAAGAACTCAAACAAAATTCCCTCAAAGTTAAGGCAATTTATGCCCAAATTATTGTCTTTATTGCATCCTTCTCTTAAAGTCAGAGAGGTTTTGTCTAAATTGAATGAAAACACAATTAGGTTGAATAGTTACTGTTTCTGTTGTCCATGATAAAACCTAGGCCAATCTATCCATGCCTGTGCAGAAAACTAGGGGGTTAATACAAGCAAAGCTTTATTATTATTATTATTATTATTATTATTATTATTTTAGTTCTAGGAAATTATGATAATACTGGGGCAAATTCCCCTTGAAAGTTTATACAGGTTTGGCTTATTAGCAGAAGAAAATAATACTACAAAAGTCTCTTTACCAAGTATAGTGAACTATTGTAGAAGTTTAGGGGTGAAATCCTGGTCCCACTGAAGGCACAGGAAATTTGCAATTAACTTTAATGGGGCCAAGCTTTCACTTCATGTGCTTTTTGCAAGCCTTGAGAGAGCTTTCAAAATATTATTTTACTTTGCATTAATGCGCAACTCAGTATAAAATTGCATTTTACTAGAAATCCTGTTCATTTCTCATTTCCATTCACATATAAATTACAACTTTCCTATTTCCTTAATTAAATTGTACTTGTATTTAAACATTAAAAAAGGATAAAAAACATACCTGGTATTTAAATTTACAAATTATATGCAATTTTAAAATTACATATTTAAGCATTAGAAAGATAAGTGCTTTATATTACTTTAATTAAAAAACTAATACGATCGGTGTTTTACCTCAAATAGAGCTATTTTAAAAGGTTCAAATATTATTTCATAACTTTGAGCTACTTACCATATTATGATGCTGTCATAGGTAAAGCCTAATTTTTCTTCAGCATGCCCAGTATTACAAAGAAGCTGTAAATAAAATAAATTTCTCATGTTTTAATTATGCTTTAAAAATGTATTTACTCTTTAAAGTTTAAAACACTGCCTAACATTTTCAAAGCAATATAAAGGAGACAGTGCAGCTTTCATATTTTACAGGAAGATGTACTAATATCACAGACTGCTTTGAAAATCTCACTCATTTAACACTCTTGGCTCTCACTGTTTCCATATAGCTTTACATTGTTTCCATAACAGCTTTGTAAATATCTTGCTTTCGGACAACTGCTATCCTCCTTAAATCAGGAGCGTCAATAGTATGGTCCATCCACCGGCCAGATTCAGTCTACAGAGCCACTACCCAGCCTGTCGGCATACCCTCCTGCCAACTTCAAACACTGATCACCACTTGATCTGCTCCATCTACTATTTGGGCAACTGATTGAGATACCCAGACAGCTGAAAAGTATTGCAGTCAAGCCATTTTAATATAAAAATCTACATTCAGAGGGCTCTTGTATCAACAGCTTTTTGTTATTAGGCTTCATGCTTTACAGACAGCATCACAGACATTTCAAACAAAATTCAGGGACAACCACTAAATTTTGGGTGCTCAATGCGAGACATCTTTGCTCTGTTTTAGAGAGGCTGAACACCCCCCAGTTCTGTGAAACCAATAGCAATTCAGGCCTAGTTGAGTACACGAAGAAGGGCTATATTTAGCAGGGACTTTTCTAAAGATTTTTACTCTCTTTCTCTCTTGCCAGCAAGAAATTGTTGTCTAGTGCAGTACCTATGCACAGGTACACCTAGAAGTAGATGGACAGGTGTTGAGAAACACATCTAGATAGTGCCAGACTTGATTTCTTGAGCAAGAACATCATCCTTTTTTCACAAGTGCTGGGTACTTTGCCTCTCTTTTAGGAAGGCACTAAAATGAATGACAGACTCGTCATCACCCCCAACCAACCCAACAGCTCAGGGCCAAATGGGGTGGGGGGGCAGAGGGACAGGGGAACGATTGAGGAAGTATAGCCTGGGGCTAAGGCTAGGGGATGGGCTTTCCCAGCCCTGGGACTGCGCTTGGAGTGCATACAGAAGTTCAGTTAGATCCATCTAACCATACCCAATCTCATTTAGCACATCTCTGAGGTACAGTTAAATTAGACTGGGTTGACCATTCTTTGACCATTGTAACCTTTCTGGATCTTCTGTACAGTTTGCATTTAGATCTTCCTAACTAAGGATCTAAGTCTAAGTCAGTGGTCAGTAACACGGGGATCCTGATCTACAGGTAGATCCTGGAGCCTCTTTTGGTAGATCCTGGACTGGGGGGACAGCTGGGCAAGCACAGATGTGCATACCAACCACCCCCAGCCCCAGCTGGTCAATATGTAGGGGAGAGAAGGGGCGGGGGCCAGATCAAGATCCCCATGGTGAGTGGCTGACTGTGCGGCCCAGGCAGAAACAGGGGAAGGTAGGTGGGGCCTCAGCCCAGTCAGGTGGTGGGGTGAGGGGGACTCCCTCCCCATCTCTGCGGGGGCAGAGGTGGCAGAGGATGTTGCCTGTGTGCCTCAAGTCCCACTGCAGCTAGCCACATGTGGGCGCAGCTCAGCTCAGCAGTGGGGGTGGCCCCAGACCAGTCAAGTCTTGTCGTCTAAGGGCACGGGGTGGGGGGAGCGGGGGGTTCCTGCCACTAGGTGCAGCCCATTGGAGGCCCCGATGGTCCATACTCCCTCCTCCACCTGTGCTTGGGGCGCAGCAGGCAGCCTGCAGCAGCAGCCACCTTCTACCAAGCACAGGTCGGGCCCCCAGAGCCTCCGCCGGACTGTGCCCAGCAGCAAGAGCACCCCTCACGCACCCCTGGACCACAGAGACTTCCAGACCTGGCCGGGCTAGGGCCCAATGCCATGCTCCTCTGGTTGCCAGGTGGGTGCAGCTCAGTGCAGTCGCGGCACGGAAGTGGGATTGGCCCCCAGCCCAGCCAAGTCTGGGACACTCCGTGGTCCAGGGGCACGGTAGATCCCGGGATGACCTTTAGTTCCAAAAAGTGATCATCATAAAAAAGTTGGATACCACTGATCTAAGGTGTTTTCTACGATTAATACAAGATTCTCATTATGAATTCTGGTTTAACATTATTCTAATATTAGAAAAGCCTAAGTCTGTCTGTCTGTATGTCTGTCCGTAACACTTTATCTGCACTCTGATTAGCCGTTTCCACCAGCCAATCAGAGTGCTCCAAGCATGGGGGCAAGCCACAATGATTCCCATGCAGCACTGAGGACCAGACAGGAGGTTTTATAGATTCATAGATTCACAGATGTTAGGGTCAGAAGGGACCTCAATAGATCATTGAGTCCGACCCCCTACATAGGCAGAAAAGAGTGCTGGGTCTAGATGACCCCAGCTAGATGCCTATTTAACCTCCTCTTGAAGACCCCCAGGGTAGGGGAGAGCACCACCTCCCTCGGGAGCCCATTCCAGACTTTGGCCACCTTAACTGTGAAGAAGTTCTTCCTAATGTCCAATCTAAATCTGCTCTCTGCCAGCTAATGGCCATTATTTCTTGTAACCCCCAGGGGCACCTTGGTGAGTAAAGCCTCACCAATTCCCTTCTGTGCCCCCGTGATGAACTTATAGGCAGCCACAAGGTCGCCTCTCAACCTTCTCTGGTGGAGGCTGAAGAGGTCCAGTGCCACTAGTCTCTCCTCATAGGGCTTGGCCTGCAAGCCCTTAACCATATGAGTGGCCCTTCTCTGGACCCTCTCCAGGTTATCCACATCCCTCTTGAAGTGCGGTGCCCAAAACTGCACGCAGTATTCCAACTGCGGTCTGACCAGCGCCCGATAGAGGGGAAGTATCACCTCCTTGGTTCTGTTCGTCATGCATCTGCTGATGCACGATAAAGTGCCATTAGCTTTTCTGATG